GAGAGGGAACACAAGCAGGGGGAGTGGGAGAGGGAGAAGCAGGCTTCCCGTGGAGCAGGGAGCCCGATACGGGGCTCGATCCCAGGACCCTGGGATCATGATCTGAGCCGAAGGCAGATGCTTAATGACTGAGCCACCCAGGAGCCCCGATAATCAACTTTTTCTTAAGAAACGACATCACTCTCACTGATCAGTGGATTTCTCATTGATCGATGGATTCATCTGTTCATTCAACAAACACACACTGAGGGCCAGTCTTATTATGAAAGGCCATGACTATTGTTGCCCAAATCCAAACCCAAGGTTTTAAATGCCAGCACTCAGGATATTCAAAAGGTAGGAGTCCCAGATTAGAAGTTTCAAAACAAGAATTCTCAAAATGCTTAACAACCTCATTAGAATGTTTATCAACTTTCATTTATTCAGATATTAAAAATTAGTTTCATTACTAAGTAGTCATGATATAGCATGTGTATATGAAAGTGTATACTTATAAAATCAAATACATACATATATATATTACATACTAAGCAGATGGTTAAAACTAAAGGGGAGGGAAGTTGTGCAAATCTGTACTGTTTAAGGGAAAAAAGAGGACTAGAGAGAAATAAAAACAAGTAATTAAAATGTAGACTTGTGTCAATACTTTTTAAATAACCAAGAAAAATACTCATTCATCACTTGTACGTTAATGGACTTATCACTACCATAGATTTACTGAAAAGTACAAAAATTCAGAAGTAGAGCTATAAATTGACATTTTAACATTGAGATTACTATACAACATCTAGGACCAACTTCAGGGAAAAGTAAATATAGGTGCCCTATAGTACCTATAGTCCCTCTTGCTACATGCCACCCACTTTGCCAATCATGGGCTCAGTTTTACCGACCGCTTTCAACAGCAAAACAATCTTTTTCCCCTCCTAAAAAGGAAAAAAAAAAAGAAATTTGATAACCCTACTTCCAGGCTTACATAAGAATAATAATAATACCCATCACACACTAGTTATATATCATTTATCCCATGCTAAGGACCGTAGGAACCCATCTGTGCCTCCCAGCAGCATGAAAAGTCACATGGGAGAAGTCAACAAAGACCGGAAAGGTAGTGAGAACACAGGAGGGTGGAGAAGGCTGGAGGTGGGAGCATAGAGACATACAGTGGGGAGAAGCAAAGGCAGTAAAGAGAGAAGATTCTTTCTGCAGTCTGGCTGAAGCTTCATGCTTCAGCAGCCCCAAAGAGCACAGGGGGCACCCCATCCTGACGCACCCCACGCACCAAAGGTGGAACTCCACTGCTAGGTCAAGTTAGGCCGTAACAGCAGGAAATCATGAAACCACGACAGCGAGGGTTATCAAAGGTCAGGACGGGGTGGTTGTGTCAAAGACCCCCCTCCAGCCCCCCCGATGGACTCCAAATTGTCCCAGGGCACATAAACAGTTGTTCATGAAATTAAAGCGAGAGCGGGCAAGTGCACAGGATTTGAAAATAACACATACAGAAAATGAAAACTAAGCAGCACATATTGAGCTCGTCACCCTGCATGACAGCAAGCTTACACAAAAGCAGCTGTTCAAATTATTTTGTAGATTGACTCACTGAACAAACTTCATGTCATATGACGCATCTGACAAAGTTAAAGCCTGCAGACCGTGTTCTCTCAGTGTTTGTTGATAAAAAGATCTCAGGGGTCCTATCTCTAGCCTAAATGCTTACTGAAAATTAAAAAAAAATTATCTGCAAGCAGATGTGTCAGCAGAGCCCTATGTTTTCAGAAACCAGGTTTGGGACTTCATAGGCCTTACCAAAAGCCTCTGACAAGAGGGGTGACATCCTCTCTGGGCTGCCCCCCTCCGCAAACAAAGCCTTCTCCACTCCCAACCCCACCCCTGACAGCTTCCTGGGGGTCACCTGGGAAGATAAATGAAATGCTGCTGTCTGGGCACTGTGAGGACAATCCCAGTAATATTCCAAGTTAGCCCCAAATCCTTTCATCTTCTGGGCCTCGGGGACGGGCTGAACAGAAACCACCGGGCACATTCCCTTGGGCCTGAGGCTACAGCTCACTAATTAGAAGCAGAAACACATCTTTTTTTTTTTTTTTTTTGAAAACCAAGCATCAGTTCGGCAAGCAAGCTGCTTCACAGTGAAGTGGTCCTAACATCTACCACCCACACTCAGATCACAACTCTCCCCCCTTGAAAGAGCCCAAATGCCTACCAAGAACTGTATAATGCCAGCTATGTACCTCCCCAAACTGTATTTCGAAGGGTCCTCTGACGGTTGCGGCTTCCTCATTTCTAGGACCATCCCAACAACAGTGAATAACCACTTACTTTTACATCCACTCAGTCCCTGACAGGAATGAACTGTGGCACAAACTAAAACCATCACAAATTAAGTGTTTGGTGGGGGGGGTGGGGGGGTGAGAAGGCATCAGTTTAGCTAAAAGTTAAGCATTTTTGTTTTAAAATTAAAAATTTACGAAAATGGCAAGCTTAACAAGAGATAAACCCTTACTTTTACATTTCTATTTAACAGCTTCAAAATCCAATTTAGAGCATTCGTTGATCTGGGGGAGTAAAGAGAGAGAATTCTAACAAATGCCCAATGCTAAGGTGCCTTACTGCACACAACTGTAAATTCTGGCTCTCACCCCGGGCGGCAAATCTGTTAACACTGAGCCTAGTCTCATCATGTTCAGAGTTATTCAAAATGTGTAATGCCTGCCCTTTAAGAAATGGACATTTAATGGGGCACCTGGGTGGCTCTGTTGGTTAAGCAGCCAACTCTTGGTTTCAACTCAGGTCATGATCTCGGGGTCATGAGTTCCAGCCCCGCACTGGGCTCATGCTCAATGGGGAGTCTGCTTGAGATTCTCTCTGTCCCTCTCCCTCTGCCCCTCTCCCTGGCTCATGCTCTCTAAAAATAAATAAATCTTTTTTATAAAGAAAAGAAATGGACATTTAAGAAAGGACTGACCCTGTAACCAAACTTCCATGCAAAAATGGTCACTGAAGTGAGAAGGCTTAGTCAGTTTAAAATGTCCTTATACAGTGTGATTTTGTCCTGCACAAACCCAAGGGAGCAGAGAAACTTTAGTAAACTGAACATCCTTCCCTACATGGAAGACCATAACCCTGAGCTTAAAAGGAAAGAATGCTAACAAAAAGACTGGGCTGCATAAGAAAATGATCAGAACTATGTTTCTAAGGCAGCGAGGGGAAAAAAGAGAGAAACAGAACTGAAGGCTCACAGGCCTGACTGCAAAGAAAAACAGTTTCAAAATAATGAGAAAAAAACCAATTCAGACATAGGTGCAAATAATTCAGATCCCAGTGAGCTTTCTGAACTGTTTCGATTATAAATCATCAGGAGAGTCTCTAAAATACAACTTCCATATGTAAAGGTGAGGAGTCCTCGGATTTAAGGAGGTACTTCATGAGGGAAAGGAATTATTTGAGAAGTAATATACACTTTGTTGCCAACAAAAAAAATCATCCCTGTGCTCACAAAAGCATTCCTAAGCAAGAATCTTCAAATGCACTCATGGCGATTCTTGGGGGCTGACTTCTAGAATCAACTGTGCTGCAGAGCACCCGGTTACCTGGAGGACAGAGGTTGTAGAAAGCTTGCAATGATTCTCTGCAAGCTGCTGATGCACCTGGCATAACAGCCACCTGCTTTCATGTGCAGGATTTTTTTTTTCTTATACTTTTATTTTTCTTCAAATCCTCATGCCCCCAAGCAAGCAGACGAAAGGAAGAGAACAGAAAGAAAAGAAAAGAGAAGAGAGAAAAGAAAAGAAAAAAGGAAGGGAA